TGTGTGTGTGTGTGTGTGTGTGTGTGTGTGTGTGTGTGAGAGAGAGAGAGAGAGAGAGAGAGAGAGAGTGTGAACATATCAAAAAGATTATTTGGCCAGTGCAACAAGCGCACAAGGCAACACTACGCTGAAGGAATCATAAGTCCCTCCTTTGCACTGAATTGATGGCTTCATAATTTCACTAAAAATGCAAATTTCAGGCAAATCAGGGGAGCCGCTCTGGGGGTTATGACACTTTAAAGCACAAACTCGGATAACAATTTTAAAGTGTTTTTTCTTCCCTCTTGAGATCAGGATGAAAAGTGTCACTTGGCCGTTTTCACACTTTTTAAAAAGATAAATTTGGGGGGAGCGCAATTTTAATGGAGACCCTGCGGGAAAATCGTGGGGTGTTGAGAGCGATTTCCCACTCCGTATGTTTCACCTCAGAAGCTTTTATTTTAGATGAAAATCTATTTTTAAATATTTTATGGATCTGCAGGAACCCTGTTAATACCTGGAACAGGGAGAGCGCGGCATAATAGCGGGGGCCTGTGTTTATCCCGGCGGAGCGGGGCTATGTGGGGTTTATGGGAAACGCTGGGCGAAGCGCGTGTCAAACGGCCACTTACCATGGGAGGACTGGCCCAGCGGAAGGTCAGGCTTTGGGTCGTCGTATCTGCCGGGATGTGGCCGGTCCCTGAAATGAACGAGATTTCAAGTCACTGGGACGCAGACATGGCTGAAAGCCACCTCTGGCAAGCAGAGACCTCTCTGGTCCTCGGCTCTTAACAGATTTATTTAATCCAAAGCCATAACACAGGAGATTGGGGGGGTGGGGGGGTACAGCCATTGACATGCAAAATGAACAGCCCACTCCTATCGGATCAGAAAAAGGGCACTCTAATGCTCTCTGCTTCCATTCCACTGCAGACACCAGTGGCTGGTGGGGGACACGGACTGCCAACAAACTCATTCGCTTTGCTTTCATCCCTCACAGATGTTTTCCAGCAAATGAGAACGAACATTACAATGATACTCCTCACTACAAACTACAATAGTAGCAACTGTTTTGTTTAAGGGACTTAAGGGGACATGCAGGTCAGTGAAATGAACTTCAGGCAGTTTGTGAGGTGGGTTTTTTTGTTTGTTTGTAAGGACCAGTGTCATTTTAAGCACTGCATTTACACTCCACTGCTGTGCTGTTGTGCTGTCACTGTAAGAGAATTCACCAGACTATGTAACTGTACAGATATCACACCACTGATAGATATGTGTATCCACCCTTGTTCTCACTCCACCCCTAGGGGGTGTCCTTTTGCCTGCTATTTTTTACTTCCCGTTGCTGATTTTATCTTCAATATTTTCCCATACTGAACAAGTACAACCTGAAACCAGTAGCCCTACTTTGGCACAGTGAACAATCCAGTGCTCGGTACCTCAGAGCGAACACGCAAGACGCCTTTAATGTTTCACCTCATTTTTCTTTCCACAGTAATCCACTGATTTGTATTAAAAAAAAAACTGGGTACGCATGGCCCCCTTTGCAATGAACCAGCCGTTAAGGCTTCACTGCGGCAGGGGAAGGCAGAAGAGAGAATCAGCCAAGCCACGAATTTGAGAATGTTACCAAAATGCCCATTTGAACATGGCCGTTTTTGAGTTTCATTAGTGGGATGAAAGCATTCATAGCCCTTACTAGTGCTGCGATGGGCGGACTTATGTGCATGTCCTCACAGTACACCACTTTCTATAAGTCTGATTCTCACAAATAGACACCATCCTGACCAATAGGAGCTGGCAAGAGGGAATATATGCTGCCAAACTAGCCTATAGAAAAGACCATTAAACCAAAGCAGCTCATACCTCATCTCAGGTATTGGCTTCAGCTCCTTGGCAGCAAAGTTCTCCACACCTGGAGAGTCGGGATTGGTGGAGCCGTTGCTGATCCTGTCGCTGCTCTCGTATCCGGATTCCGCGCGCTGCATTTTCCAGGTATCGTTCCGAACCGCAAGGTTCAACCCGGCCTTAGTCCTCTCCTTGTCCACGGTGCCCCGGTCCTCGGACTCCAGCGAGCTGTGGCTGCCCATCTCGTTCTTCTGCTCGTCCTCGTAAATGGTCATGAGATTCTTGGGTCGGCGGTCATCTCTGGCCCAGGCGCGCTCCCGGTCATACTGTGCCCTCTCCTGGCCGGGAGGTCTTCGGCGATTACCCTGCTGCCGCTGCTGCTGCTGCCGTTCCTGGTCCTGGCTGCTCAGCACACTGTCCACGTTGAGCGTCTCCCGCATGGGCCTCCATGCCCTGGGTCTGCTGCGGCCGGCTCTCTCCCGCGACTCCTGGCTGCTGTCCGTGTCATAGCCATTGGTGAGGTCGAAGCGCCGACCCTGGACGCTGGGCAACACCTGCACCCGGGATGGGGAGAAAGCCTCCTGGGCGGCTCTGGGCAGAACCGGGGTCCTCTGGCCCCGCGAGGGTCCCTTCCCCTGGCTGTTGTAGAGCCGCTGCTCCGCGTACTGCTGGAAGCCGCTTTCGGGGGGCGAGGCCGAGCGGGAATACATCTTGTCGGGGTTCACGTCTGAAAGGGACAAAGGCGACATCGCTCACAAAGCAGCCCGCTTCCGCGTCTCACATCCCAGAGGATAACCGAAAGTAAGGACAGTCGCGCTAAAATGAAACAGCGCTTATGCGTATTGGGTACCCTGCTGTGCCGGTACAGAGCAGAATTATATTCAGAATAAACAGCACGCTGGTGAGAACAGGTGGCTTAGGGGCACGGTGGCGTCACGCCGACGAAGGAAACCTCTGTATGTGTCACTGATACCAAGGCAAATGTCCTTGGCACAAAGCAGAGCCCCCTGGGGGTGAACAGGGAAGAAAGCAAAGAATCCTGGCAGCGTCTTGGGACCCCACAGATGCAGATCCATGCTCTCTGTAAGCACCAAGGCCGTGGGATCCAGGTCTCGGCCCACGGCGGCACGGGCAGCTTAATGACGGCCTGCATTTCCCAGATCCATGGGGCGGGGCGCTGCAGGGACCCAATCATCTAAATCCCGCCATCACAACAAGCAACAGCGGCGACGGGTGTTACCATGACGACCTGCCAGGCTGACCCGCCTGCTCTCACATTGTGACCTGCTTTCCTACAATGAAAGTCCACTGTGGCGAGGAGCATGTGCGTGGACACGCCCCCCCTTCCCAGCATGCTCCACTTTCTGTACAGTCACACAATTGGCCCCGTTTCACTAGTCTCTCCTCCCAAGGAACTCTGCGAAACAAAGGCTCTCTTATTCACACTGCCAGCCACCTGCCCGCAAAACTATGCAAACTATTCTACCCTTCAGTATCAAAAGTAGAACAATCTGGCCCCCACCCCCAGGGAGCATGTGCAGAACCAACCTGTCTGTTGCATCACCAATACAATTTAATTAGAAAAAATAAATCACTTAACACTGACACTAACCATTAGCAGGGAGTATACAAAATACACATTCCCCATGCCACTACTTGCACTCCCTCCCACGTAAAACACCCTGATCACATGGTGCATCAGGTGACCTCCACGGGCCAATAGGAGCACAGGCCTCATGGCTTCTCAAGGGGATTAGGAGAACTTCATCAACACTCCCCACTTACATGTCTAATCCCTCCAAAAGCCAGACCAGCAGATGTTTAGATTCACCCTCTGCTATGCTTCCACAACAGGTCACACGGACCTTAGTCATGCTGACGCTACAGTGTCGCCACTTTTTTTTTTTTATTAAACAGATGTTTTTATCCAAAGTGGCATTTTTGAGAGAGCTTCCTGGAGCATGTCGAGGGCCTTGCCCAACAGTAACAACAGTCTGATTACAAGCACAGTGTCCTAAACCTGAAGTGTGAGCCTGCCGTTTAACAGGAATTGGTCACTCAGCCAGGCTTGGCAAGACTCACGCTGGAGAACCAGGGTGGGGATTCTCATCCTCACCTCTCGACGTTCTCTCTGTCAGGACCCGGTGCCGCTGGGTCCGCTGGTTCCTCTCCGGGTCCCTCCGGGCCAGCGTTCCCCGCACTTCTCCAACGCGCTGAGCGCACTCCCTGGATAGCTCCTTCAGCTTACTTCTGGGGTCTATGTGAAGGATCCTCACTGCAGAGAGACAGCAACCCAGTTCAGCCAGTGAAGTTTAACAGGAACCCAGCCATACCCGATATGCATCCCCATCCCTCCCTCTTGTTTTTCAGTGTTAAAATGAGACGTCCACTCCTGAGGTTCATGCTGAGTAATCATACGTTACACAGTTTCAGCTGGCTGGACTTATGACAAAATGCAGAGAGAGTAAAGAAGATTATTGCCAAAGAAAGGTCAGGTTTGGCCATTCAGAAGGGACTCATGCTCAATGACCAGTACCAAGACGTCTTAGCTTTAGACCTTGTGTGAATATCTGATACACAGATGGTACTAGCACCGACATAACAGTACAGGGCATAAATTAAAAGGGTATGACAAACAAAGTTCTTAGTTTTCCTGAACGCACAACCCCCCCCCACAGTACCAGGTCCTCTTCCCCCGCTCGTCTGCCCACTGCCCCGGATGAAGGGTGTCCTGGAGGGCCCTGGGGTCTGGACCCTGGGGTGCTTGAGCTCAGGCACCACGTCGTTCTCCGTCCTCTTGGCCACTGCGGCGACCGTCTCGGGCACTGATCCACACACCGGGGAGAAAGAGCACTCAGGTGAGAGCAGACGATGCCCGGACGCCACGCCTTCTGAGGGCGACCGCGCTGCGGTGGCAGGGGTAAAGGCCGAGGCAGGGCAGCAAAATCACATTAAAAGGCAGTATAATCAAAATCAGGCCCCAAGACAAATTCTGACTTGGATTAAACTGAACAGCTATCAGCCCACAGAGCTTCCGGAATACCACTGAGAGAGATCAAACACATGGAATGCAGCTGCAGATGCATTATGTGTGGTCATCCTCAACTTCTTTAGGACACTGTTTCCCAGTCCGATCCTTGGGGACCCACAACCGGTTCACATTTTTGCTCCCTCCCAGCTCCTTGCCACATTTTTCGCTAGTAGTTGGGAGGGAGCAAAAACGTGGACCGGCTCTGGGTCCCCAAGGACCGGATTGGGAAACACTGCTTTAGATAGACTGACGGATTTATACGCAGAGGTGCGGCGGGATCACAGCCGGGCAGAGGGGTGCCGTGTGGGAGAGGCTAAAGCCCTCCACGCTCAGGTCCCGTCTCGCAACGGGACAAACATTTGTTTCCTATTTACCGAGCCGTCTGTTTGGAGGAGAAAAGGCGCAGGCCGTAAAAGCCAGACCTCACCGCTAACCGCGGCTCTCCCCCGCGGGATGGCTCTGCTGCAGAGTGCATCTGAGGACGGCCCGCCGGCGGAGCTGGGCCGCTGGCACCAGACACCAGCGCGGCCTTCCAAGGGGCCGCGCTGTGGAGGAGCGGTTCCGGCAGGGCCCTTTCGGGCCGGCTAAACGCGCAGAACACGGCCGGAGGAAAAGGAATCTCCCAGATCGGGAGGGAAGAAAAAAAAAGCGACTGATACACGGCCTGAGATATCGAGCAAATTAAACAGCTACTGAGAAGTTGGCCGGCAGAGATGAAAAAATAATAAATAAAACCACTTGTGCAACAAAATTGCAAAAACAAACACTTATAGGAATGTACAGCGAGTCTCAAGGATATTTACTGGAAATATATGAGAATTTCCAGCTTATGAGCAATAGCGACCTGGAGAAGAGGGTAACCGGAGGGTACAGTATTTAACAGTTAAACATGGCCGCATTCTGGGGCTGTTAGGCCCATTACCGTATTGGGCACCAGAAAGTGGAAAATACCTACACAGGGTGAATAATGCAAATGAGCAAATGATCTCAGCATAGCCCCCAATTACAGGTCACACTTACCGTTTCCTGAAGGAGGAACATCTCAAAATTACTGTAAAATTACGGGCTCCAGGCAAAGCTTTACTCGTGAGGCCCCCCAGCAAGAAAACTGGTGATCATTTCACTGCCTCTGCAGCGCAGTAGATTGGGGGCCCTAGAGGCAACTACCTGTAAGTACATCGGCCCCGGTGTCACATGACCTGCGCGGCTCACCTGGGGCCTCTCCGTTGACGGCGGGCTTGTAGTGCGAGCCCATGTTGGTCGGCTTGGGGGCGTCGTCGGGGGAGACCGCGCTGCCGTCGGGGTTGGAGTAGAACAGCAGGAGGGGCTGGAAATGGCCTCGTATGCATTTAGTGGTAACGTCTTTCCATTTGGAGCCAACCTATAGCACAGGGGAAGGAGCAGGCATGATTCTTGGGGGTTAAAGAGAAGAAGCCCCCCCAGCCAACACTGAAGAGGTGTTCGTACTTTTTACACCTAATTTACACACATTGCCCACCGAATTATATAGGGACAGGAGGCTACCAGCTTCAACCAGCATGGTGACCCGAGCCGTCCCCAAAATGGTAGCTTCAGCACAAGCGGTACAGGCAAAAGGGTTCTGGTTCTGAACACCATGCTGGCTTTGGTCTAAACCTGGAATATCAAGGAGCTGCAAGCCATGAGACCCAAGGTGAACAAGCTAGCAGATGTCGTGCTCTTCCTTTATAAGGGCTACAAAAAAAACGGCTGGTTGCGTCTCCACTTCTAAGCAAAGAAACCCCAGCGTCAAGCGAGAAGCTTTGCTCAGCTGTGGGGCATCAAACATTTCTGTGCCCGATGGTGACCCAGTATGGCCAGAGGGGGAGGGGCCAGGGGAGCGATAGCAACTCCCAGCGAGAAGCAGCCGCCCCCGCTTCATTAAGGACACACGGACTCCACTGAACAGCACCCAGGGACGTCCAGACTGCTGGCATCGTGCTCCGTGGCGCACTAAGTACTTCTGAGAAAGCGCTTGCGTCCCACACTTAACGCTGAAACAGGACTCCGGTAAACACCGCCTGGACCGGCACGCCACGGTAAGCCGGAATGCCAGCTCACCCAGAACACTTATTCGGCACGATTCCAGGCCACTTCTCTCAGACAAAGACTCCCCAAGACTTCCCAAAACCCAGCCGCCCTACTACCTGCGGAGGCTGGAAAATACCAGGTCCACTGGCGCCTGAAGTAGAAGGAACTAGAAGAAAGTTGAAGATTAAGCCAAGGCCTACTCACCTCCTTGACGGTGGCGTCGTCGAAGAAGACCCACTTGGAGGTTTTCGTGTGGTAGGCGAAGGCGCAGTAGTGACGGCTGGTGTAGCAGATCATCCCCACCAGTCGCAGTTCGCTCTTCTTGGCCTGCTCATCCATGACGCCATAGAACAGCTGCAAGACACAACGATCACGGGTCAAGGCCGGCACCCCCTCTGCTCTCATGGCCGCAGGACGGCACCTTTCCCCAGACCGACCCCCCTGCCAGACCAGCTCGGCTAGACATCTAACAGGCAACTGCCGTTTACAGACCTGTAGATCGTTATAAGAAACATCTTTGGGAATTAAATGCAACAGAGGTGGTCGGCACATGCAGAAGATGCACGTTCACCACGCAACAGATTCACACTCTACACCACAGTGGTGCTTCAGCCACGTCCTGGCTGAGGGTCTATTCTCCTCTCATGTTCCAGCACCGAATAGCTGGTTTATTTGATGACCTCAGAAACGGTTCACCAGGCCTTTTAACACCAGTTTAAATCGAGGGTCCTGCCAGGACAATGAATCAGTTCCTTTGTGAAACTCAGCAGAGTTCCGCTGAACTAATCCTTGACTGGAATGTATGCAAATCCGGGAGAGCAGAATTCGGTCCAGAACGCCTTGAAATAAACACTCCCAGTCTCCTTCCTGCAGCGCGGGCCGAACACGACTCTGACCGGCGGCACCGAACGGCCAGGCCCTTCTGGGACGAGACTCACGTCAGAGGAAAAGAAGAGAAGCAGGAAAAGAGGGACGTACTGCAGAAATAAACACAGAGAACGAGAAACAGTGGAAGACAGTCGGAAATAACACAGGACCCTCGAAGGAAAGCCCCCTCTGGGGTGCCTTTCACCTTCTGGTGGACGGTCCCCCTCAAAGACAGGGGTGAAATGAACCTTTCCAGACCAGAGCTGAGGCCACTTTGCATAACCATACTAATACACAAGGGTGCACACACGGCAGAAAGAAAAAATAAATAAATCAGGGCACACATATGGTCACCAAAAGCAAAATACGAGCACAGGCAGCAGTGGACAATTGCAAATTAAGAAGAAAGCAAAAACTACAAAGATATGCGCTGCAAACAGCTGACGGACACTCCAGAGAAGTATGTCTATTGTTTGCAAATCCAAAGCAGGTTGTAGAAAGAGGGAAAAACACATTAGTGACGTCAAAAGTGACCACAGGAGATTGTGGCTGCCAAGCATCCCACATTACCATGGTTTCCATTCCTCAACATTAGCATTTACTACATTAACAGGACAAGCATATCACCCTACCAGGAAAACCTTGCTCAAATACATACTCGGGACCAGTGAAAAGGCCAATCTCGCTTTAATTTGAATTTAAAAGTGGGGCCTGTCCCACGTCTCAATAAACTATCCAAAGCTCTATTGCAAGATGCTTTTGCTGCAAAGACAACATCTCCAATAGCAGAGTGATAAGCAGTGATTAGAGCAAAAGCAGCCAGTTCATTTGTCCCAGATAAGGGCAGCACTTAATGTGAGCTGTATTGGGGGGGGAAGTGTGACTCGTCTCTCCTGTGAGATGCATGATGAATTAACTCTTGATTCTTTATTGCATAGTGCGGTTGACAAAACTGCATCCATCCATCCTTGCTCTAACTGATTTTCCTTGTTAGAGTCATGGGGGGGGGGGCTGTAGCCTATCCCAGACAGGGCACAAGGCTGGGGTCCATCATGGGTGGGACGCCAGCCTATCACAGGGCATATGCATGTATAGGAAATATCACACTGGGCAATTGGCATAACTGCATTCTTTGTATTAGGAAACTGGATCACTTGGAAGAATCCTATGTGACATGGTAAGAACATGCCAACTACACACATGGAACTCAAATAAAAGCCGGGAGCATACCAAACATCTAACTGCCAGTGCAGAATGTACAGCAAATGATGCAACAAGTTTCCACAAGTTAACCCACAAACTTAGCATTTTTTAATAACTACCTATTTTTCTTTAGCGAATAATCACCAATTACAATTGAACATACAACTGCAGAAGCCCAGTCAGGCCTTCAGAGGCCGGTAATGCACTCAAGCCCCGCCCCTGTGCAGACCCTGCCATCAACCAAGCCCCACCCCCTGTCAGACCCTCTCCTTACATAAGCCCCGCCCCTGTGCAGACCCTTCCCTTAGCCAAGCCCCACCCCCTGTCAGACCCTCTCCTTACATAAGCCCCACCCCCTGTCAGACCCTTCCCTTAGCCAAGCCCCACCCCTTGTCAGACCCTTCCCTTAGCCAAGCCCTGCCCCATTACCTCAGAGAGGTTGATAAAGGGCCCCAGTGATCGGATGACGTCCTCGGTCAGGTCGGACTGCTCCGCATCCCAAACGAAGCCGATGGTGACAATGTCCGGCGAGTTCATCAGCACCCGGCGCGTGGGGATCCTCTGGCCACATTCACTCTGCATGGAGGGGGAGGGGGGGGGGACACAGTCAGCACTTTATAAGATGGGGCGCCGCGAGACAAGTGAAACTGAAGCGACACGTCACGCAATTAAAAACACACAGGCACACACAAGGGACACCACTGTTACTCAGCTGCGGTCACATGAGCATTTCGGTTTTGGTGTCATGTCGTTTTACCGACACTGAGTCCTCTCAGTGTCACTCTTAAGCCAGTAACTGATGAGAGCTGTGTCCCAGAGTAGTGTCCCGCATGCAGGGAATCCCAGTAATTGGGACAAATAGCTGCAGGATTTGTCACTTCGTATGCAGAAGTTTTTGCAAGGCGGCTGTGTACAGCAGACCAGGTAATTACTCGCACAGGAAAGAACGACAATGACGCCCTGGGCAACTGTTGCCGATGGTGACAAGCTTGCATCGATGCAGCTTGTTTTGGATATCTACCTACCGGGCAGTTCCTCAGGTCCCCGACAGCACACACTGCATAGAGTAGCTCGCCGAACCGGTCCGATCTGGGCCTGTCACTCTTGTCAAGTCCACGATCCAACTGCTGGCTGTGAGCAAGAGGATCAGGAGGAAATTAATGAAGAGAGGAGACTGGAGAAAAAAAACATAGACTTTCTGGGGATTTGAGAAACATTGCACTAAATAAATGTACATATTTATAAGAAAGAATGTTTGACATGGTGGGCGGAGCTTACCAAAGACTTGTGGTGGACACATAGTGCACCAGCTCGGTGAAAGGGAGGGGGTCAGAGGACGCCCCACAGCTACGACACACCGCCTACGAGAGGGGGGACATTAACCGGCAGCTTGTTACTCATCGTCCAACATGGTGCTTTAATGGGATTGACACAAAATGGCGCAGTGGGTAGTGCCATGTCGTTGTTCCGAGAGATGGGCCAGAACAATATATCTCAGACAACTGACAACGTCATTATTGTTGTTTTGTAGCTGAAATAGGGGCTGCTAGCTGTTAGTTACCTATTAATTAGCACATCACATAAGTCATCATCCCAGCTTCCCCATACCTGCTCATACAGCGTCATGGCGAACTTCTGATGCGTGATGCAAGACTTGGACGTGCAGCCGTCAGAGTCAGAGTCGGGCGCGATGTGCATGTGGATTCTCTCTAGAATGTTCTCCTGTTTTGGACAGGATTGGTGGAAGATGTGAGACACTCAAACTACCTTTTGCAAGGGTCTTCTTTTGCATATCTGGAGTGCCTAGATGCCACACAGTGGTTATGGACACCTAGAGAGGTCAGCAGGTGGGCTGACTGAGCAAACACCTGCACCTGCAGGTGGGCGGACTGACCAAACACCTGCACCTGCAGGTGGGCGGACTGACCAAACACCTGCACCTGCAGGTGGGCGGACTGACCAAACACCTGCACCTGCAGGCGCGGACTGACCAAACACCTGCACCTGCAGGCGCGGACTGACCAAACACCTGCACCTGGAGGTGGGCGGACTGACCAAACACCTGCAGGCGCGGACTGAGCAAACACCTGCATATTTGATCACACTCATCTCATAACTGTGGGATTTACGGACATTATGTATTTTACGTTTCTGAGCCACCCCCACTGAAGTTTTGTTTAGCTTTATGCTTATCAAAAATACATCATCTGTGTTTCAGTTTTTACTCATCTCTCCTAGACCAGTTCTCCTCATCACATAACACAGAGACCATAATAGATAATCACAAGTACCAGCATTATTATAGAGGATTGACCAGAAAGAACACAACGTGATATTTTAGATAAACAGAAGCAATCATCATGTGAGCTGGGCAGCTGGGAAATACAGGTGTCATGTACATGTCTTGAGACGATAAATTATGCAAGTTTGCCTCGAGTGTGAAATTTCTTTGAATCTTCTAGGGAGAACTCTCAGGTTAGGCTGGACGAAGGGGCAGGGGAAGCTGAAGCCAGCATAAGCTAACCTTAGGCAGAACATATCTGAAGAAAAATTTCCTTTGATGTCTCAGACTCTCCGATACACAAGGAGATGTGTATTCTTCTGTACACATCTCATTATCTGCCCCACAGGTCATAGGGCATCTGTTCCTGCTCTAAGGCACGCAATGTTCCACAGATTTCTATACAAATCCTCTGTGAGGCAGGGAAGCAAAGTACCGCAAGTCTAGAACATGGAAACTTATCTAAAGTCATGTTGCTATGGAACCAAAGCAAGTTTATAAAACATTCACAGAACTCCCAGAACTACTGATTTTTACTACAGAACTATAGCCATAATTTTTACACTATCCCAGTGGACATTGGTCCGCTATTCCTTCAACAATCAATGCCAGACTGATAAGCCTGTAGAGTGTACAGTATCGGATAATGTTCCTATCTTTACTGTACATACAGCAGGCTAAACACATAGACAGCAATTTAACATGCTATGTATATATTCAGAGGGAAAAAACATTTGCATCCCAGGTTTCCTTTTACTGATATTCTCTATCTTTGCAAGTTTAGTTTCACTGGTCATTAATTACCCAAGTTCCCACCATTTACTGAAATGGAAGCTTGTGAGACTGACTTACACAAAAATGTTCTGCAAAACAAACAATGATTGGTTCAGAGAGATAACCAATCAGATACTGAATACAAGGAACTAGAGTCGGCGAGACCAGGACATCTGATTGGGTTGCTCCGCCTCCTCTAGTTGCTTAGACCCACTTCCTCTAAACCCTGATTTGTTTTCCCTGTGAATCACTTATTTTTTTTGTTCTGCCCTCAAAACATTTTTATGTAAGAAAAATTCCCATGAGCAAAACAGAAGCCTTTGCAATGATACCATGGATGTGGATGAAACCTTTATCTGTTAATTTAACAGCTACTCCCCCTTTGTTAAGACGACCACTATTCCACACGGGTACAAAGACCTCAGTCACAGAATCGAAGCTCCAGCCCTCCCCATGACTTCATCAGGGAGAATGATTTCACGTCTGAAAATTCACCATAAAAAAAAAAAAAAAAAAAAAAAAAAGGTAATTATATGTTGACACAGTTTAATTACTCGGTAAGCAGCAAATACCTACAAATCTCAAGAAGAATTTTCCCTGTGGGAGTTTTACAATAGTATAGAAACGTGTAATTGGGGACACATGGTGCTTGAAAGGAGACACTGCGCAGGCTCCGCCTCCTCGTCCCCGTGCTGTGCCCCAGCCGACAGCTAAACCCGCTGGGGGGTGGGGGGAAGAGTCCAGGGGCCCTAAGAGTTTTGTAACATAATTGAATTGGTCTAGGTTGGGGGTCCAGTATGATCCATGTTCATGGGGCCTAAATGCTCCCCCATTACATAATATTATAATTTTACATATTCAAGGGCCCTGTAAAGTGCTGGGCCCCCTGAATCTGCCAGGGTATCCATGCCCCTACTGTGGCCCCTGTAATGAGCTGAACCCCCTAAATCTGCCAAGGTATGTCCCAACTACTCCCCATTTCTGTAAGTATTAAGGAAACAATCATACCTCATGACTCAGGATACTTTGAATAGACATCAACAAATGGACAGAGTTTCGATTTTAATAATATATTCAAACGTATTAAATGACATATTGGAAGCATGAGGCTACCACAGTCACGTTAATAGAGAGATTGCGGTTACATAAGCGCGTGCAGTCATTTCGTAAAAGAGACCTATCCTTCACTCCAACTGTACCAAGGCTTTTATTTGGCCAACCCCTCCCTACTCTTAGGTCACGGCAGGGTCACAGCCCCCCCGGAAGGCTGACTCACGAAGCACTCAGCCGCATCATCCATGAATCCCAGCTGGAAGCGCTGCTCATCCTTAAAGGTCTCGGCCAGGGCGAGCCGCAAGTTGTCTGAGGGCAGCGCACGGTCCCGGCTGTTTTGGAACTGCGTGAAGATGCTCTGGGGGGTCGGGGGTTGGGGGGGAGGGGTCATGCACAGGGAATAAGAAGGGGGTTGTGAGTGTAGGGTGGGCAAAACACAAAATAAGGCACCATGATGAACTTCACCAGCCCATGACACGACATTCCCACACACCCACACCAGTCCAATGCTGCTGAAGGGTTGTACCTTTAGAGAACAGAAAATGCAGGTCCCCCCCAGACAGAAGTGCCCAGAGAGCTGTCTCAGGCTGCGTCTGAAGATGTCCAGCTGCCACAGCACCTGCAAAGGAACCAGGACAGATGTTGTGGTCACCACTTGCAGGTCTAGACCCAACTCGGCTGCTGGTTAAAGCCTGGTGACATCAGAGGCACCCGGGGCAGAGTCAGATCTGGTGACGCCACCTCATAGCTCCCTGACAGGTGTCAACAGAGACAGAAGCACAAAGCATTCCCTCCCTGCAATGCACCCAAGGGTGGAGAGCGCTGGAAAGGCTGTTAGTGCGCCCCCTACTGGAGATGAACTTAAAATATGAAGGCCCAGGCTCCATAGCCTTGATCTCAAAGAACACACTGTTCAGACACATGACCAGGCAAAAAGACACAAATAGTGTTGATTTCATCTTTATACAATTCTCTCATCACTATCAGACCTCAGGCAAAGGCCAGAACCAACATACAAACATTACTTCAGTACTTCTAGAAAGTACCATGGTGCGTCATCTTAAAACAAATATACAGCGCACTGAACTAATATTACATAGTTAACTGCTACAAAGCTAATAATCTGAAGATCATAGATAAGACTGATTTTCATTAGTAAAAATCATTACAGCCGATTCCAACATTAGAGAAACAACTCGAGGGGGTGAACCAGCAATAAAACAACGTGGAATCAGAATGTGCTAAACAGACTAAAAAAATATATCTCTACCCCTCTACTTTGCTAAAGAACAAATATCAAAAAATCACCGATAATGGAAATTCTTCCTTGTCGCGTGGGCTGCACAGTCAGTCAAACAGACAAATTTCCCCAAATATTAAAACTAATGTTAATGGAATGATCAATATTTAGTTAAAGAAAGTGGACGAACTTCATGGTAGAAGACGTCACGATTACATTTTTATGACTTATGACATCACGACAAAAAAAGGGTGAATTAAAAACAAAAATTTACACCTCAACATTTCCGTGCCACAAACCCTGTGCGTCACATGACATTTGTCAGTTTATTTTGCGTCGTGCCAAGCAGCTAAAACAATATTCATGGCATCACTTAATTATGATCTTGGTTATATAACCTATTCCAAAATGAAGAAAGAAAGAAAAACAAAGATCTAACAAGGTAAACACCTAAAAATACAGAAAGCTATAACCAATCTTCCTAGAAGTCAGAAATTTTTTAATGAAGTGCTATCGTTAAAAAGAAAAAATAATCTAGAAATGCTTCTAGTCTAATCTTGCTAAAAACATCTTGCAAAATATTGACTGGACAAAACATCTACATCAGGGGTCACCAACATGGTGCCCGCGGGCACCAGGATGCCCCCAAGGACCACATGAGTCGCCCGTGGACCTGTTCTAAAAATAGCACAACTCACCAGTGAGCAGCGTCTAAAATTTAATTTTATCCTGTTGCTATTCTTCTTTAATCACATTTGCATTTATATAGTATCATTAATAATAACATATAACTAAAGGTAAACTGAGCAAATTTGTTATTTAAGAAGAGTGTATCAAACTGGCAGCCCTCCGTATGGCTCAGTACCCGTGAAGTAGCTCTCAGTTTCAAAAAGGTTGCTGACCCCGGATCTTCCTAATAGATTTAGCAGAGCAACAATGTATAACATGTGCTTAATTCCAAAGGTCACATGACTCGAGGTCCGCGGCTCACCTGCACGGCGCTGTTGAGGAAGCAGCTGTTCTGCCCCGGTTCATTCAGCAAGCCCTTGGTCGGGGCCAGGGATAGCATGCTGCCGGGCTGGTAGGACTTCCCCAGGTTCCCTGCCGGCTTTTTGAAGAACTTGACCCATGCCATTGGACCAGAGTTCTGCCGCCGTGCGTGTGCAATTCCAAGGGGTGCTGGAAGCAGCCAGTGGGGCCACAAAACAGGAGCGGCAAGATGCCAGGGACCGGACGGGCTTCGTCCGGAAAGGAGACTCTCTCGTTCCGCTGCCGGCCGGCCGTCTGGCTGCACATCCGCTTCTAGGGCGCGAGTCCCAGTTTAAGAGGGACAGGATTCCAACATTCCCCTTTGAAAATGGCTAAGGGCGCGGCTCGAATTAAATGCCACGAAATGCAAATTAAAAAAAACACAGTCGGTGGCAGGGATGCGTTTTGTAACCGGGAAAAGAACTTTGGCAAGTGTAGACGTAATTCAAGGACTTCAAGAAGCTGCACTGGTGGCCCCGACGACCATCCGAGGCAGGAGTGAGAGCGCCCCCTAGAGGTGGCCACCCCTCAACAGTGCAATCACTGCAACAGTGAGTGCGGCCAAGGCTTGGGCTCATCCATAGGGCAGGTCTGAAGCAGATGATCTGAGCATTGGGCATCAAAAGACTTGGTCAATCTATGGGAGAGAGAAAGTGAGAACAAATCAATGCATATCCCACCCATCCCATTAAATAAAAAAGGTTTTAGCCAACCAACACATGGACACACACTAGAGCTGTTGACCAGTCATTCAAAAAATATTTCCATAAACATGTTACAGCAAATCTCCGGTTCTAATTCAATCAAAAAGTTTAAATCTTCAACTAATTTACAACCACATCTATACGTGATGTGCAAGACTTACACATAGAAAGTTGTTTTCCGTGTACACAATTTATTCATCAACTGACTAGACAAGTCTATACTTAGCAGCAAATATTCGCAATCTAAATTCATGCCGTAACATGCATTGGCCTTAATCCCATTTCATCACAGAACATCCACAGTACGCTCATTTATTATTATTTTTTTAAAGCCCTTCCCAGCATGGATGTCCCAGAGCACTTTACATATAAATACACAAACACGCAGCATGCAGATCAGGCAGATCTAGGCAGAAGATGACAGAGAAGAGGAACAAAGACCCTTTAGGTCATACTAGCTGGGGGAAAACATCCGCAGCCCAAAACAAAGGGCTGCCCAGCGCTCTGGCAGAGAGACTCAGCAGGTGAGGTGCTGGCAGAGCTGACCCGAAGGTCCCACAAACGTTTCGGCAGAAAATCGACTGATTAGGCACCGATCAAGTCCATTCAAATACTTATGACAAGAAAAGGAGTTTTTCACTGTGGAAATAATGCTGGAAATTTATGCTTCAGGCACAATAAACTCACAATATACTCTTGGGATTATTACAGTTCAGTCTAGGGTTGATTAGCGACAGGATCGTAGTTATACATGGTAAAGAATAAGGCCATTTCTTTACTTGCAGACTTGACATGTGCAACGTGACAGACGGACAACCAACTCCGACATGGATTCTGCCAAAACAAATAAAAACCTGCATCATTTTTAACATCCAAACACTACACTTCCTACACCAAATAAAAAAAAGGTATAAGCCAACTCCCAACACTTTAACACACTGTAACTGACCCAAAAACGGGCAGCAAAACAGTGAAAAACAAGAGACTTCCATGTCCTCCCGTAACAGGGGGCAGTGGGAGGATTTAACACATCAACAGGTTGCAATACCATACCCAAGTAACAGCACACTGAAGACAAGCTTATCTGTAGCCGTCAACATGTCAAAATCGATATTATGTCGTTAGTCCGTCTTCGGTCTTGAGTAGTTTTTACTGACATGCTAGTAGGACAGTACAGAACACACTGTCACTCCCTCCACAATGGGCCAGTTTGACCCAACCTGACCCCATACTTTTGGCGTCAATGAGCATCACAAAGAATACATGTCACTATTCAGCCCAAATCAGACTACAAGCACATTGCAGCTGAGTAAAGCTGACACCAATCGCCACAGGCAAAAACTAGGAAGATAAAAAAATAATCTAGCGAGTGAATACAGCAGGTGTCACCTGGAATATGTTAGAGGGTCCTTAGGCTTGTATTACCTTATTCGAGACAAGTGGCCATTCCCAAATGTATTAAAAAACAGCTTTTCCCTGGTGCTCTGCGGACCCACTACTGAAGCTGCTTAAGGTATTTGAACTTGTACTAATTGACATTTAATATGCAAAATTCAAGTTTTAAAAAGTTCGATACCTCACTTAATATAATAATTTTTAAACACGTGCCCTTTCCCTGCTTACTTGCAAACGCTGAAGGAAAAATCGTGATTATGAGCATAAGCTTCAAGAAATATAAGACGTGTTCAGCCTGCATTGCTTCTGGTTAAAATCCAGGCCGTGTTTTCAGTTCTCCCAAGTAGTTGTTTAATAATGACTGATTCTGATTGGTCAGAGGCTTCACACCTGACTGACAGGTAAAGGAAGGCTGGAAAACCAGCAGTGCTCGGACCTGGAGGACCGTGAGTTGAGTAACCCTGACCTACAGCATACCAAGGCAGTGTGACTAAAGGTAGGGATGTTGAGTAGAAACCTGCAAGACTGATTGGCTATATCGCTTCATATTGCATTCATGAACAGTATTTTTTCCGAACAACGATCTGGAAGTTTCACAGAAAACTATCACAAAACATTCGGATTAAATCGACCCAATTTTCTTCAAGCGATTTCATTTAAATCTCTTGCACATCTTCCTGAACTGCCCTCTAAACTGTACACAATCCAACAAAGCAAACATTAACTTCACGGTAATTTATTCCATTCGGTTTCGCCACGATGGCTTCATCAAAGCTCTGTCTTACATCCTTTCTCAACTCCGCATGCAGCAGAATTCGCCTGCAGATCAGTGCTTAACCACACAAGTAAAACCAAGCCCAGGGAATAAGTTCACAGAATGGATGCCTAATATCCCCGACCCAATAGAGTAACTTCATCCTTAACCCATAACTTAATCATGACGAGACAACAATGAGGTAACAATAACAAGTTTAACAGCATGTCTCCCCTAGCATTCGAAGAATCCTTAGCTGCCACTGAGCCCAGAGCACAGGCAGGCTTGAACAAGACGCAGGAATGAGAAAACCGGCTCCCAGCCACCACCAGACCACATAGTTCAAACAAAATGTTTCCACTCTAATTCTGAAAAACACTTTCAGAAGGTCCCAGCATGCTCCCAATCCTCACGGTGACCCTCCATGGCAACAGAATTCCAAAGCCGACACCCCCAAGCCGTGTGTCAAGTTAGGATTGGCCGAAAGGTGCGCCATGGTGGACATTAGTCACCCTATCACCTTGCACACGAGATTCTCCAGCCCAGTCACCCTTTGCCTGCTAAACACCCAGGTCCATTAATTGTTCATGCAACACAAAGACCCATTACCCACATGAGAACAGGCCACCAGAGGCACTATATCAGAGCAGACGCACGGCTCGAAGTTTAATTAGTGACACAGGAGACTAGAGGAGCAGCTCTGTTCTCTTCTAGCGACATCTAAGAGGTCATGGTGATGCTAGGCAACAAATTCACTCCATCTAACCATCCTCAAGATGGCACCATAAAGTAAAGATATTAAAAATAAAATGGCATGTTTGGCTACCCGCTCACATGCAAGCAGATTTACTAATTAAAGAATTCAAGCTGCAATAAATGAATCTAGTGTGGCCATT